CAGGTTTGGGGGCCTTGGCCCAGGCAGTGGGGGGGGGAGTGAATCTAGGGCCCAGACCAGGCTCGGCGTGGGAAAGGGGCCTGGGGTAGGGGAGCCCAGAGGTGCCCAGGCCCACCTGGACCACAGCCCTGCGTGTACAGCTGCGTCAGGGTTGACAGCTCCCCGTGAGCCCCGGCTCAGCCATGGGGCTGCCAGGGTCTCCCTAATGCCGCGCCCGTTCCTGCACACCCACAGAGGCCACAGGGACCATGGCAGTGTCCCTGCCCTCAGTGCAGGCCTCCTGGGGCCCAGCAGGTGAGGGGGCGGGGAAGGTGTGTGTGAGTGTGTGCCTGTGTACATCTGCACGTGTGCTGCAGGTGTGAAAGCATGTGTGTGGCTGCGGAAGCCTAAGCACACGCGTGCGTCCGTGTGTCTAGGTGCGTGTGTCTGTGTGTCTAAGTGTGCATACCTATATGTCTACACACATGCATGCATGTTTGCAGCGTGTGCTGTCCCCTCTCTGGGAGCCCTCCGTCCCCGTCCCCGTCCCCGTCTCCCGGCCCCACCCGGCCCGCCGCCCGGCTGAGTCACAGTCTCCACGCTAAGCTCTTCCCATCATGGTAAACAGCCCGGCGAGGCTGCACCAGGTCCAAACACGCCGGCGCCCGCACGCCCCGGGCCTTTGTTCCGACCCAGGCGGCCCCGCATGCGCACCGTCCCCGTGGTTCCATGCCAGCTGCTGGGCCCAGCACGGCAGGGTGAGGTGGGGCCCAAAGTGAGGGGACAGGGGCGGAGCCACAGCCCGCTTCCCTGGTCTCTACTAGGTGCAGAGGCGGCTGTGTGTCCCCAGGAGTTCTCAGGGGGCCAGGCCTGGACGGCACCGGGCTGGGCACCGGCATCTCCAGCTCAGTGTGACTTAGGCCCGGCCTCCTTCAGGGCTCTGTCTTGGTCCCGAAGCCAGGGACACTTGTCACAGGCCCGGGCCACAGTGGGGACTCGGGAGACACGGAGCTAAGGCATCCCACAACGGCGGCCGGAGTTGGACCAGATGTTGGCGGCCAGCTGGCCTTGTCCCTCTGGGGACCCTGTGGCTTTTGTCATGCCCTGGTGGCCGAGTATGTGGAGCCCTGGCTCCCAGCTTCAGGCCTCCTGTGTGGCCTCTGTGCTGACCGCGTGGGCCCGCCCCCTTCTGAAGTCTGACCAAGTCCCAGAGCCCAGCTGAGCCTGTGCCAGCCCGGGTCTCAAGGCCGTGCCAGGGTCACACAACGGGAGCTGGTGGCTGCTCCAGGTGGGCTCGCCTCTCCGCCCTCACCCTCTCTACCCTGGTGGTCTTGGAGGGCTTGAAAGCCCTGGGGCAGTGGGTGGGGTCCGGGCTGCGGGTGTTCAGGCTTTAGCAACATCCACAGGACGGTCTCCCACCCCGCCTGGCCTCGGCCACCTCAGGGACCTGAAGTGGGCTTGGTGTCTTAGACGCTCGGACCCTCAAACCCCCAACTGTCCCATGTCCTGGCTGCCTGGGTCCTGGCCTAGGAATGTGTGGGCTCAGAAGGTGAAGGTGGGGCTCACAGGGGAAGATAAACAGGGGGACCTGGGGCCAGCAGGCTGGGGGTGTGGCCCCGGGTCTGGGGAAGGGCCATCTTGAGGCCCCACCCCCAACCACCCATCCGTTCACCTGGGCATCCTGGGTACAGCCCTGGTCCCGCACGCCTCTGGTGTGCTATGAATGCAGGCTGAACAACAGCGGAGCTGCCGGGGCACTGCCCCCCAATCCTGCGCGGTGCCCTCCGCTGCCCCTTTTCGGGACACTGTGCTGGGCTGAGATGGCCGCGTAGCATGCATGCCCCCACAGCCTGGTCAGGTGATGGACCAGGCTGCTCCTGTCCCCTCTGAGAGCAGCGTCATCTGATGTCAAGTCACAGCTGTGCCCCTGGACTTTCTAGGGGTCACTATAAAAGTGGAAATGATCAGGGGGTCTTACAGTGGACATTTTATTTGGCCAGCATGTTGGGAGAGCCTCGCTGCCATAGCGATTAGATGGGGCGCCTTGGGGAGACCTCCTCTGCCCGGAAAGCCTGTCATGGTTGCACACAGCACACTAGGGTTGCATGTGTGAGATGCCTGCAGTGCTCTCAGCCAGGCTCTGCCGGGGCCAGGAGGGAACAGTGCTGCCCAGTCCTTCTTGGGGATCATGCTGCCCTCCCCTGGGCCTGGTCCACAAAGCCCCAGCAGAGCATCAGGAGCACGTGCCCGGGAGCCCAGGTCGCATGGGGATGTGGGGCACAGGCCGAAGCCACGACCTGGGCCGCTGGGACGGTGCTGGGCTCAGGACTCCCACGGCCGCCCGGCAAGCGTGCCTGGCGCGGAGCTCACCCACAGAGCAACGGCAGCGACAGCTGCCCCTCACGTGAGCCAGGATTAGGGTGGCCCCTATGCCTGGTCATGCCCAAGGCCAGCACATGACGACGGGCGGGGCACTGCCTTCCCTGGCAGCCAGGTATGGCCAGGCCGCACGCGGCCATAGTCTGGCCTGGGCTGTGTGTCCCAGGGGCCTCTGCCAGGTACAAGGGGACCAAGGCATCTCAGGGAGGCCCAGAGCACCCAGCACACGGGTCGTGGGCAAGGCCAGTGTGGGGTCCTCGAGAGAAGATCTAACTGCAGGGAGTGGGGAGCGGGGAGCCCCGAGCACCGTCCCTGGAGATGTGGGAGCCTCTGCCCAGGTGCGTGGGCTCTGCACGGGTATGGCTGCCAGTGGAGGGGTTCCCTTTAGCGTTCGAGGTCTAGGGCTGGCCCAAGGTCGCAGGACAATCATTAATGGGCACCATGTGAATGGCCGTTCCTGCCCTGCCCTGGCCAGCTCGTGCCCAGGCTCCCATCTGTGCACAGCGCCCGGCACGCCTCTGACGTGGGTCACCCTGCTGCCCGTGACCACCAGCAGCTGTGTCCACCTCAAGGGACAGCAAGGCCTAGCCTGGGGGTCAGAAAGTCTGCCAGGCACAGGTTGTGAGCACAGTCGGGGGATCAGGCCCCCGAGAATGTTGAGAAGACGGAGCCGGGGATAGGGTGAGAAGTCATGTTCTGGGGGGAGCAGAGGAGGGGACCGGAGAGAAACCGGGTGGGGGACTCCTGGGCCCGGCTAAGCGCTCACTCTGCCCCAGGGTTCCGCTGCAAGGAGGTGACACGGTGCCGGTTCTGCTTAACCTGGTAAATGCGCGGTGGGGCTGGCAGGAAGGGGCCAGAGAGGCCGGCCAGGCAGTGGCCGGGCAGGTGGGGGTGGACAGTGGTGGATGCTCCTGGGGTCAGCAGGACCTGGGGCAGTGGGCGGGGGAAGGGGGCCTGGGCATGGACTCGCCAGCAGGGCAGGTGAGGAGGAGCCCAGGAGACAGGAGAGCCGGGGCCCTGCGGCAGCCCTGGGCAGGAGCCAGGGCAGCCCAGAGCTGGGGCGCAGGGAAGAGCAGCACCCCAAGGCAGGGCTGCCCTTTAATCAGTGTGTCGGGGTCCCAGGCCACCTCCCCGGAGGGAGAGGGACTCAGCCTGCTGCTCAGATGACCTGGAGCACCAACAATGCTCACAGTGGGCCAGGTGGCCGTGCCAGGTGCCACAGGGGCACTGGGGTGCAGGGGTGCCGGGGCGGGGCACAGGCAGCCTCCAGGTCTGCACCCCTGTGTCTTGGGGTCCCGGCTGCCACGCCTCTGCATGAGCAGGGTGACTGCCACATATGGAGGAAGACCAGAAGGGGCAGTGGGCACCCAGGTCCAGCAGCTCCCTGTCCAGTGGTAGCCAGTGGCCTGGAGACTCTCCCTGGGCCTCCGTCTCCCCGATGGGAGTGGGGGAGCAGGGTGGGCCAGGCACACAGGCGGGCACCAGCACGGAGCAGGCACCCGGCCGGCACCTGGAGCTGCACTTGGGTGGCGGCACCCCGGGGAGGGGGCGGGGCTGCCCTCCCGGCTGTGCCAGGTGCCACCCACGGCTGCTCACCGCAAAGGGGCCCCCAGGGGCTTTCCCTGCTGCCACCCCAGCCCCGCGCCTGCGCTGCCAGCCCTGCGGAGCCAGGCGCTGGCCTGTGGCCCAGCAGCTGTGGCCCTGCTCGGTGGCCCGGGTGCCTGGGATCGGAAGGTCGTGCTGTGCCCGCAGGCTGGGCACCTGCGAGCCTGGCACAGGGCACCCCCACCTGGCCCTCCCCACAGCCTGTTGGGCAGGCAAATCACCGCTCCTCCTTCAGGCCTCCTGCAGCACCCGGTTTATCTGCCAGTACAGGGAGAGGCTGTGGGGACACAGAAGGGAAACTGAGGCCCAGAGTGGCTTCGGGGTCGTGACTGAGGTCATACAGCTGGGTCCAACCAGCTGAGGCTCCTCTGTGCCACACAGGGCACTGCTGGAAAGGACCCTCCCTGGGCCTCAGTTTCCCTGTCTGTAAAGAGGGCGCAGAAAAGTCTGTCCCCAGGCTGTGAGAACAGAGAGGCCATGGGGCACCCAGGACTGGGCCACCAGCACAGATGGTGCCACCTCACTTGGCAGGTCACCACTCCTGCTCACCACCCTCCCTCCAGCTGTCGCCACAGCATCCTTCTATCTGGAATCCCTGCCACCCCAGGACAGGACATCTCTCCTTCCTCCAGGGTCAGTTCTGGTCCCCACTGAGCCCCCAGCGGCCCCGCACAGTGGGTACCGCACCTCCCTCCTTCCGGGCAGAGTGCAGGTGGAGACGCAGCGCCTGGGTCTCAGGGAAGTGCCCCACACCCTCACCATCAGGGTCCTGTGCCCACTGGACAGTGTCCCCTGTCCCACAACGGCCCAAAGCCAGTGCCCTCCACCCTTGTGTGGGGCCTCCCCACCCGCACGGGGCAATGTCCAGATCCCACTGGGGTCCCCGTGGTCAGGCCTGGACAGGGCCAGTGGCACGGAAATTGGCCACCGGAAGGTATGTGCAAGTGTGGCGGCCGGCCTGGCTGGCACGGGGGCAATGGGCAGCTGGCTCCTGCCCGCTGGCCCTGGCTGGCCCGAGAGCCCCAAGGCGCCCTTACCTACTCGGAGCTCTTGCCCGAAGACGGTCTTCTCCCCCAGGGCGGAGCAGTTCCAGCGGCCGAAGCGGAACTGGTACTGGCACTCGTTGATGCCCATCTGCGCCCCCTCCCCGATCACGATGATGGCATCAGGCCGGCTCTGGCAGATGGCACGCTGCCGTGGGGCCAGGCCAGGAATCTTGTTGCATATGATGTTGGCTCCCAGGGCCACTACGGACGACAGTGCCCTGTGAAGGGAGAAGGGACTGGCATGAGGCACCCTGCGCCTCCCGACTGGACAGCCAAGACCATCACGCTGGCACTGACTCCAGCCCTGGCTCTTGAGTGAGCCTCAGTTTCCCCATCTGCAACATGGGCACCTGAGACACCTGTGTTCCCCACCAGCACTGAGTCACAGACAGTCCTGGGGAAAGGCTGGCATTGCCATCCTGCATCTGGATGTCCGATACAGACAGGAGGAAGCAGGAGTGATACCCACCGTGCACCTACTGTGAGCCAGGCATGGCAGGTGCCACCTGGCAACACAGAGTCCTCCCAGCGGCCCCTGAGGGCACCTTTGTAATAAATCTAGCAACTCCCAGGCAAGACGGCACTTGCCCCAAATCGGAGCTATTATCAGCCTGATTGTTTGTTTGTTTTTCTAATGAGGCAAAATTCACGTAATGTAAAATTAACACACAGTTTAACACACACAGTTCCGAGGTACTTGGTGCACACGCAGGGTTGTGCAACCACGGCTCCTGTCAAGGTCCAAACACGTTCATCGGGCCCAAGGGAAACTCCGCACCCATCAACAGTCCCTCCCCACACCGCCTTCTCCCCAGCCCCTGGCCACCGGTGACCTTTGAGGTGCTATCCCGGATAGCGCATGCAGCCGGAGTCTCCCAGCACGTGGGCCCTTGTGTCGGGCTCTCTTCCCTCAGTGGACTGTGTCCACACCGTGTCCATCTGGGAGCCCACAGGAGCACTTCCTGTTCAAGGCCAAGTACTATTCCACAGTGTGCAGGCAGCGGCATGGGCCTGCTCCTCTCAAGGCTGTGTGCACACCACGCCGCTTGGAGCAAGCCCACACCGAGTCCCAGCCCAGGTCTCTCGGGCACAGAGCTGTCACGCTTCGGCCTTCTGGGGATGCCCACTGGCTGCTTCCCACAGCACTGCATCCATTGTTTGGTTCAAGCTCCCAGAGAAGGGACACACGGGGGCCCAGGAGCACTGGCTTCTATGCAACAGACCAAGCTGCTTGGAGCAGGGGCCAGCATCCGGGCCCAGGGCCTCCTCCTGCCCATGAGATGCCAGGCAGTGTTTTTCCAGGGTGCCATGCACCCCAGGCAGCTGTGCAGTCCCAGCACGGGCCGCGGCCCGGTGACACTCAATGCCAGCTGCCTGCCTGCCTTCCTGCTAAGCCGGCTGAGACCCTCCGGGTCCCACACACACGGGGGCACAATGAGCAGCCGCGCTCCAGGCCAGCGTGGAGGAAAGGGCATCGGCAGGGGCAGGCGGGGCTGGGAGCGGGCTGGAATCTGGAGAATTCAGCCCAAAGTAATTGTAGATGCTCCAGGCCAAGCAGCAGACATGAGCTGGCTGGGAACCTGGCTGGCCACACTGGCCGCCTGCAGGCTGGGGCTGCCTGGATGCGGGTCCTGGGCTGAAAGGAAGCTCTCAGTTGCCAGCCCTGCGTCCCCCCCACCACCAGCAGGCTGGCCACAGAGCCCTCACTTCCTGCAGGGAAAGGAGCTCGGCAGGCAGGGACTGGAGGACCCAAAGGGGACCAAGGGAGGACGGGGACATGGACGGACCACGGTGCCACCACACAGAGCTGGAACGCCTCCGGGGAGGACACAGAGAGGACCACGAAGCCACACAGGCAGCCTCGGGCTGCACTGGGGAAAGCACACCTGTGACTCCAGCACTGGGAGGCTGAAGCAGGAGGATCACGCACTAGAGCCCAACCTGGCCAACTTAACAGCTTCCAGAAGAAGGGCTGGGGATGGAGCTGGCTGTGGGGGCCCTGGGTTCCATCTTCAGGACCACAGACCAAGCAAGCACGCACTGGGACCACTAGAAGGCTGGAGGAGGGACCAGTTGGTGAGGTCGTGGGGAACAGTCCTTCCGAGCTGCAGGGGTGCAGGGGGCGGGGCACAGCATGGCTGCCACGGGCCACGGTTTGCAAAGTGCTGAACAAGGCTAGCGATCCTCTTCCCACCTGAGACTCAAAGGAAGGGAAGACCATGAACAATGCGTACGGTGGTTCCCAGGGGCACAGCTCCCATCAGCCAACGGTACACATAACCCACAGGCCCGAGAGGGGAGCGGGCAGAGAACACGCAGTATAGCTGTGCGGTGGAATATTACGTGGCCATGAATAGAAGCAAGTACAGAATCATGCTACCATGTGGGGGAAATCTCAAAAACATTCCCCTAAAGAGACAAAATGAAACAAAACATTACACTCAGTAACAGGAGCCAATACCAAGAGTGTGCACCTTCTGTCTCGCTGTGGACAGGTGAATTCAGGGAGGCCGAGAACACAGCAGTGGCTGCCCAGAGCTGGGGCAGCCGGGGTGGTGGGTGTGGGCTAGGGTGATGAAAATGTGCCCAGTGGGCAGAGGGGGCAGCTGCAGGGCACCCCGAGGGGCGAGGCTGGGTGCCGTGAGCTAGACAAGGTTGGTCCTATCCTACGCCCTTTGACCGTTGTTCAAGAATCATGACAACACACAGGGCTCCTGGACTGTGGTGGAGAGTGGGAACTGGGTGCTTGGGGCTTCAGGGCGGAGGACCTAGCACCAGCACCCCAGGAACGGGCCCGCGGGCACAGGGGAGGGAAGGGCGGCAGGGAAGGGTGCACCAGCAGATGGGCCTGGAGCTGAGAAATCAGCTGGCTGGCTCTGTGTTGGGTTTTCCACTCACCACGCACACAGCCTCCCTGCCGCACCCCGACCTGTGAGTTTGGGGTCACAGGAGTGCAGAGGGGTGGGGGCTGCTCCAAGCCCTGCTGCTGAGCCCAGAGGCAGGCCCGGGCAAGGGCCTAAGCCCACTCCTTTGGTTTCTGTTTGGCTTTTGTGGTACTTCTAGACCCAAGGCCTTTGTGCTGAGCTGTTATCCCCAGACCTTCTCTTTTTAGGTGTTTAAATTTTGAGACAAGGGCTCAGAAAACTGCCCGAGCTGGACTGCAGCTGCAGTCCTCCTGCCTCAGCCTCCCAGAGGCAATCCCCTTGGGGTACAGGCATGCACCGTCCAGCCCCTAAGTCCTGCCTGGGAGGCACTTCCAGCACTTACTGCCCGGGTGACACTAGCTAGCTTCGTTCCTATAGGACCAGGAACACAGAGAGGCCACAGCCCACACCCGGGCACCTCAGCAGGCCTCCGGCAGGGAGAGCAGGGAGGCCTCATCACCTGTGGGCGAGGAGAAGCTGGGCGGGCGCGTCGGGGGCTGGCTTTTTCAGTGGAAAGTTCTGTTCCGGGCTTGTCCCCTGGGCCGCCCGGGAGCTCCTGGACACAGGCAAGACGCCACAGGACTGGGCCAGCTGCGAGTCGGGATGCTTTGCTCACCCTGGCCTGGCTCAGGGCCCCGGAAAGAGGGTCAAGGAGAGGCGCTGTCCTGATAAAGGGTGGGGTGCGACCCCATCATTCATGGAATCATCCCCCCCCCCCCGGCAGTGACCCCTGCAGGGCAACACACAGGATGGGGCATGACGGTTCTTGCTGTCACTCAAAAGCCAGGACCTTTCTGGGGACCAGAGTGCAGAAAGGTAGGGACCTCTTCTAGAAGCCCCAGGCAGCCCACCCCAAACAAGGCCACCTCAAAGGTGTCTTTCACTCTGGGGACCCACAGGAGGCCGGCTGTCCTTCCAAGTGGCCACACCTGCCACCTCCGCTGCTCTGAGGGTCAGGGACAAGGTGTGTCACAGGGCAGGGCTGGTGACAACGTGCTGACGGCTGGCAGGGGCTGGGACTCCCCTGCTGCCTCCTGCGTTACCGGGCGGTGGCTGGCGCTCCCGGGCCCGCTTCCTGTGCTGGAGGATTTGGTACCAGCTGCTGAGACTGCACTTGGGCCCGGGAGGGACAGATGGCTTGGAGCAGTGCTGGCCTAGGAGGTGACTGCTCACCCCGGTGTCTCCCCAGAGCCCTGGGCTGGGCCTTGCACAGGGATTGGGGTGCTGCCCAGGAGTCCGGCTGCACACACCTGTGAGTGGGCCTTGCAAGCATTTGTTCCTCTTGGGAATGGAGACGCTGGCCCAAGACCACGGGGTTAGGGACAAACCCATCAGCACCAGGCACAGGCTGGCTTCGTGGCTTTGGTGCTAACCAGAGGCAGCCTCCTCCCCGTGTCCATGGAACTCAGGCCTGACTCCATTTCACAGAGGGAGAAACTGAGGCACAGGCAGATTGAGAGTCGAGCCTGAGGCCTCACAGCTGGGAAGAGGTAGGTCCAGGTCCCACGCAGCTCACCAGGACCAGAACTCAGGATACCAACCCCACCGCGGCAGCCCTCTGTGCGACCTGGAACCCAAAGCCTCTGGGCCACTTGTGCTCTGTCCCTGGACAGCGATGGAAGGAGCTGGGGCGTCCCCGCCTGCCCGTCACAACCCCAGCCCCGCACCCTAGACGCAGCCCTGGCATCATCAGGGCGACCAGACAGTGCCCAGGCCAGCACGGTGCAGAGGCGAGCTGAGGGGTGTGTTTACGTCTCAGTCACCCTGCTGCCTCTTCTCCTGCCCATCACCCCACCGTGGTTCACCCCGCTCTGGACTGAGCCACAGAGCGAGAGGGCCGCCGAGGACACGCGCTGTCCCCCTCTGCAGGCAGTGGGCACTGCCTTGGGAAGATCACCAGGTTCCCACCTGCCACCTCCGGGCGGCAGCCAGGTCCTGCCTGAGCCCTGCAGCCCAGCCTGGGTCCCTCCTGTGTCATGAGCACCCTGTCCTCGCTCCTCTTACCCACAGCCCGCCTCTGCCCCGTGCCCAAGTGGACCTCTCCGCTGCAGAGACCCTCCCCAAAGGCCACCTACCATCCAGCTCTCAGGGCCCCAGGACCCTGTGTGACCCCTCGGACCCAGCCCAAGGCCGCTGGGGCACATTGGCCCCACTTACCAGCTGTGGGCTGCCCAGGGCAGGGAACCCCAACACCACCCAGCACCCTCCACGGTCTCAGACCTGGCTACCCGTCCCCAGCCAGGGGCACACAGTGCTCCTGCCCCAGCAGCCAGCTGCCCGCTGCCCAGCTCCTC